TGCTGGGATCAGTGCGTGCGAGAAGGGCAATCAGTGGCAGCGGGCTCTGGCGCTGCTGAGCGAGATGCAGGAGGTGAAGCTGGAGTTCAACGTCATCAGCTTCAACGCTGGGATCCGCGCGTGCGGGAAGGGCGAGCAGTGGCAGCGGGCTTTGGCGATGCTCGGCGAGATGCGTGGGCTGAAGCTGGATCCCAACGTCATCAGCTTCCACGCTGGGATCAGCGCGTGCGAGAGGGGCCAGCAGTGGCAGCGTGCTCTGGCGATTTTCAACGAGATGCGCGAGGCGAAGCTGGAGCCCGACGTCATCAACTACAACGCTGGGATCAGTGCGTGCGGCAACGGCGAGCAGTGGCCGCGGGCCCTGGCGTTGCTCAGCGAAATGTGGGAGGCGAAGCTGGAGCCCGACGTCATCAGCTACATCGCTGGGATCAGCGCTTGTGAGAGGGGCGAGGAGTGGCAGCGGGCTCTGGCGCTGCACAGCGAGATGCTTGAGCTGAAGCTGGAGCCCGACGTCGCCAGCTTCAACGCTGGGATCAGCGCGTGCGGGAAGGGCGAGCAGTGGCAGTGGGCTCTGGCGATGTTGAGCGGGATGCGGGAGGCGAAGCTGGAGCCCGACGTCATCAGCTTTAGCGCGGGGATCAGCGCGTGCGCGAAGGGCGAGCAGTGGCAGCGGACCCTGGCGCTGCTCAGCGAGATGCGGGAGGCGAAGCTGGAGCTCAACGTCATCTCTCCTACAATGCTGGAACCAATGCGTGCGAGAAAGGCGCACTGTGGCAGCTCGGCAAACAGGCCAGCGGGGCAAGACCCTCCCACATTGGCCCCGAGCGCCTCAAGAAGGCCTCAGAAACGGCTTCAGAGACCCCCAGACGGCCCGAACACGGTTGCAGAGGCCCTCAGAGGCGTTGCAGGGTGCTAGCAAGCCAAGGGAGGACCACAGAGGCGCCAAGAGAGGCCCCAGATAAATTGCTTCAGGTGGGTTTCGCGCGCTTCGAAATTGTCCAAGAGAGCTAGAGGGCTCCAGACTGCCCCAGAAATATTCAAAGACGACACAAGCGTGCCCCAGAGTGACGCAGGAAGCCCCCAAGACAAGATGGCACAAGTCGGCCCTAGGAATGCCCCAAAGGGCACCCGGAGGCCCCGACGATGACCCAGGGCAGGCCTCAGTTTGCCCAAGACGGCCCTGAGGGGACACCAAGACGGCCCAAGATTGCCCTGAGCAAGGTGTGGGAGGCGACACTGAAGCCCGACCGCATTCATGTTCTGACGCAGTGCGTGGGGGCTGGGACCTCTGGGCCGGAGCCCGCCGAGAGGCTCCCAGCGATGGGTCCAAGAGGGCCGGCGAGTTGGCACCAGGAGGGGTTCAGAGAGCCGAAGTAGCGTCCAGGACAGCCCCAGACTGCCTCGAGACGGCCCCGAGACGACCCAACAGGGTCCCCGGCGGAGACCCCCCAAGCCAGTGCCGGCCAGCCCCAAGTGGCCAAAGAGCTTCGAAGCGCTTCAGGGCAGCCCCAGGTGGCTCCAAGGTGCCCCCAATTCGGCCCAGAAGAGGCCCAAGACGGCCTCCCCGCCGTTCAGCCCCAAGGCGGCCACACGCATCGAAAACCTTATATTTGAAATGTCTCGGGCCTCCTCGTCTTGACAGCCCGAGACGGCCCTAATAATGATTGTGACATGTGCTACCCCTGAGTTTCATCTACAAGAAAACCTTATCCACTACGCAGCTGGTCTCGGCGCGTGCGATAAGAGCGAGCGTGCCATGCACGTGCTACTGTTGCTTAGCGGCTTGGTAGCTGAGCGGTGCCTTGGTAGCTGAGCGACATCTCTTCATCTACGTTGCCGGGCAAATCTATATGCGAAGTATTTTCTTTGACGATTCAGCGTTGCCGTCATGGTTGGCCTTGGTTGGGTCCGACCTGATTTTGCAATTTGCCATCATGTCGAAGGTCCGATCGACTGCCCGTCTGGACTGGCCCAGTCGAACTCCGCCTTCAGTCGGGGCGTGTCGAGAGCGTCCTAGCGCGCTCCCTCCACAGTGCTTTGTCGCGAAGAGGTTTGTCGTCTCGGATGCTTTGTTGTGCCATGATTCGCTATGTTTGCCGTGGCATGCAGCGATCAGCGCTGCTCTCTTAGATAATGAGCTGTACCACGCGCCTGCGCTGCAATCCTCACTTCTGCATGCGAGTGCGATCTCGTGGACGTAGTCCACGGGCCAGCCCCAGCTTATACTACAGCGCCGGGTGACGCACGTGCCAGAAGGGCGGGGGACCCAATGACCCAACATCGGCCACGGCCCCGGGGGGCTCCAGGACGTCTTCGGAGGGCCCCAAGACGGCCCAGGATGGCCCGACACTCCCCCGGGCGGTCCAAGAGGTCGCCAATGTGGCTTTCAGACGGCCCCACAGTGCCAGAAGACGGCCCAAGAGGGCTCCAAGAGGCCTCCAAGCAGGGCTTCGAGAGGCCAGAATCATTGGTTCCCTTTAGGCTTTGGAAAGGGTTTCAGCGTTCTCGCCTTTTCGGAGTCTCGACGCTCCGAACCGGCCACAGGGCCCCCAAGATCGCGCCAAGACCGCCCAAGAGGCCCCCGAGAAAGCTCCAAGACAGCCCAAGAGGGCGGCCCAAGAGGGCCCCGAGACGGCCCAAGAGGACCCCAAGACGGCCCATGACGGCCTCAAGAGACGGGGAAATCGGAAGACGGACCAAGACGAGCTCGGACTGACAGTTCGCGCCCTCTACTCCAGGGTGATCCCCGAAACCGCCAGCTGGCCCCCACGAGGCCCCGAGACGCCCCAAAAGGCCCCCCAAGATGCCCAAATCAGGTCCCAAGAGACCCTCGAGAGGCCGCAAGACACTGCCAAAACCACCTTCACGAGACTTCCGAGGGAAGGTTTCTCAGAGAGCTCTGGGACCGCGGCGGCCACCCAGGAAAATAATGCGCCCTTGCGCCTCTTATTGTTTCCCCTCCTTTGCAAAGGCTCCAGTCTAAATGGGTGGCTCTTCCAGGAGTTATTTCTGAGCGTGCTCCAGACAGGCTGTCCATTGGGGGCATGTCCCGCAGTGCCTTCGATCTCCTCCCCAGCCCACGCAGCCCGCGCGCATCCTCCGACCTCCTCGGGCGGCCACAGCCACAGTGGAGCATCGTGAGAAAAGATGGCCCACTGCTGCTTCTTAATCTCTAGCCGTAGCCTTAATTCAGCCCCCCAAGGTGGCTCAAGATCACCCTGGGGCGGGCCAAAACGCCCACCTTACCCGAAGGCAGCAGCACGAAACACGAAGTAGGCAACAATTGCGTCAGCGCGCAGCAACAGCAACCAGCACCAGCAGCAGCAGCAGCAGCAGCAGCAGCAGCAGCAGCAGCAGCAGCAACAGGCAGTCCCGAGCAGCACGCACCAAGCAGACGCGGCCATCAGCAGCACCCGTCAACCACAAGCGACAACGACACGCAGCAGCGGCAAGCATTACTTGTAACATGCAGCAGCGGCAGTAAGGAACAACGCGCAGCGGCCTGCGCCCAACGCGAGGGTCGAGCCCCGCGAAGTAATGACACCCCCAGAGGCCCCCGCAGACGGCTTCAGGGTAGCACCGGGCGCCCCCAAGCTGCCCCAAGAGGTCCCCAAGAGGACCCCCAAAACGCAACAATTTGCTCAATCCTTCGGGAAAACGTAGACTTTTTGCATACTCGCTGTCTGGGTCGGCACAGCTTCCAGATGGCCGAAGCGGCCCCCCAAAACCGCCCCAACACGGGCCAAGATGCCCCCAAGAGGATTCCAAGACGGGCCAAGAGAGCCCCAAGACGGCCCCGGAGAGCCCCCAGCCAGGCCCAAGAGGGACCCCACAGCGCCCCCAGAGGCCCCCAAGAGAGCCCCGAGAGGGCCACAGGAGGCCCCCAAGAGAGCCCAAGAAGGCTCCAATGGGGGCCCCTAGACGGGCCGAGCCCTGCCAGAGGGCCCAAGAGGGCCCCAGGATGGCCCAAGACAGCTCTCAGACGGCCCAAAAGAGCCCCAGAAGGACCCCTCAAGAGCCTCCCAAGAGAGCCCCAAGTGGGCCACGGGATACGCCGCCAAGCGCTCTACACGAAGAGCGCTCTACACGAAGAGCGCTCTACACGGAGACGCCGCAGGGCACGCTCCTCCGCGAGGACGTCGCGACGTTTACTCGCGAGGAGGACGTCGCGACGTCCACGCCAGGCGGCGTCCTGCCGACCGACTCGATAACGCAACCGACATTGCGGTATCTCCCACACTGCCTCATGACGACGCCGCCTGGGAACAACCGACGAGCGACGCTGCCGCTCCCCACCGCTCGACTTAAGCCACGCGGTCCACCGCGGGAACAGACGCCCCGCGCGGCACGACCCACCACGCTGTCACCACAAGTCCCGCCACCCTGGAAGGACCCTTGTGATGCCTGCGGGCGTGCCGGTTGCTGGCCAGTCGCGCTTGAATGTCGATATTGCTTGTTGGCGCCACAGCTAGACGGCGTCTGCCCTCGGCTGGGTGCGCGGACCTCCGTGCCCACTGGACGCAAGCTTGCAAGAATTTCGCGCCGCGTCCACATCTTCAACCTCGCCACCGCCGACCGACATTTCCAGCATCGACTTCGGGGGCCGCGGGGACTGCCTCTTCTTCAGCGTCGCTGGTATCCTCGCGCGAATGGCACTTGCAGGTGGGAACCCAGCACAACGCGTCTTGGACAGCATCCCGTCGACGACGTTCATGACAGGAGCGGACGCCGTCTTGCTTCGACTGTGAAATCTGTCAGCGGACATCTATTTCCAATGATCACCTGAGCAGCTCCTAGACTACGTCGCCTCTGCGTCCATGCAGAAGCGCAACGGCTTCCACTACTACCAGTGGGACCCAGCCGCGTTGCTGGCCGAGTGCTCCTTCCACTATTTCGAGTGCTGTGACAGCGTCTTCGCCTACGAGGACCGACCGGACGGCGCCGCCGTCGTCAGGGCGGCCTTTCCAGAAACGCGCGCCGGAGCAGGGGAGCGGGAAGAACGCATTCTGCCGCTGCCAGATGGCATTCGGAGCCTCGCGCGACTGCGTGGCACACTACACGGATTCATGAGGCAACGGGGCAACATGCACTGGGGCACCCAGACCGACGTCCGCAGTCCCAGTGATAGCCTCAACGTCGGCATCCTGTTATTGCGTGACCGCGTGAACCAGACTGCGCGCACCTGCCTTTACAACGTCGGGAACCAGAGGGGACAGTACCCGCACTGGCTGGCGCTGTGGTGGGACGAGCCTCGTCACTTCCGTGGAGCCGAGCTACGTTGGAACCAACAGTACGCGGACCGAATCACGCATAGCACCGGAGTACACTGAGTGCAACTGGCTGGCGAATTGAGTGCGCAATGCCCGTTTCACGGCCTTCGCGTCTCACTTTGAAACGCCCGCGCTAGCGCGCGGAGACCAAGCGCGCCTGCTTGCGGACGCCCACACGTCAAGAGCTGGGTCGCGATGGCTCATGGCACCGTTCACTTTTGGGAGACTTCATCATCCTCCCCCTCATCCTCCTCATCATCATCAGAATCATATCCACCATTATCAGCATCATCACCGTCGTCGTCATCATCATCATCATCACCATCTTTATCGTCATCATCCTCCACCTCATAATCATTACCATCATTCTGAGTTCTCATCATCAGCATCAGCATCATCATCACCAGGATCATCGTCATTATAATCATGGGCATGAGCATCATCACTGTCGTCGTGATCAGCGTCATCCTCCTCCTCCTCCTCCTCATCATCATCATCATCAAAGGCCGCTCTCCTCTCGAGCCCTTGAGAGATTCGCGGCCTCGGCTCGTCTCGGCGCGCCCCGCCAGGCCCGCGGGGGGGCCGATTCCGACCGCACCATCGCGGCCGTGCCCGCGCTCGCGGCGCGGCGGCTGTGGGCGGAGGGCAGGGGCTCTCCCTTGCACGCGCCTCCTCCTGTCCCTCCCCCCCACATGCGAGCATGCGCACGGGCGTGTTCGTGTTGTACGTGGTGCTGTGCATGAGCCACCACATTAAGATCGTAGGTTGGAACCCGTTCTCGCTCCAAGGGGTAGGCCGCCTGGACGACGTGAGTCGGGAGTTTGAGTCCTTCCACCTTGTTCTTATGCCGGGGACAAAACTGAGGACCAAACAACGAGCCCCTCATTGTTTCGATCGAGGTTCTCACCATTGGTCCATACAGTTTGGATGGGATAGAGGAAGTATGAGCAACGCGTCAGCTGGGTGTAGCATCGGCTTTCGCGTGTCACTATTTCGACCTCAGGATGCAGTCCGAATCACAGTGCCGCCTGCAGAATTCCGAGGTAGAGGAGGATGCGTGGACCTTGTACAAGGCAGTCTACGTATGCGACTGATTGTCGCCTACTTCCCCCCTCGCCCCTCCCCTGGAACCCAAGCACAACTACGGCACTGGAAACTCACCTTTGTCAAGCTATGGGAGTGGGTTCGGCACGAGGCGTCTTCTGCACCCGCACGGATTGTACCAGTTATCTTCACAGATCTCAATCAACAGCTTGGACGTGTGAATCGACAATCGGTTATCGACGACAGCATTGGACAGTTTCAACCTGGTCCCGAGACCGAACTAGGCCAACGTGTACACCGTGACTTACTAAATATGGAATTTATGGCTCCTAATACGTATTACGACCTCGGCTTTAGCTTCTACGGTCTACGCGAATCCCGTTCACGTATCGATTATTTTATGACTCCTCAATCTCTCCTTCCACTCGTGCGACGCATGTATATGTGCTGGTGCTCACATCGTAGGCTGCACTATC